GGAGCAGAAACCTGAGGATTGCATCTGCAGTTGCTGTGGGCACTATCCTCTGAGCCAATTTCATCTTTAATGGGAGGGATTGAGGGACTGGATAAGTCAATATTCCTTCCCAGTGAAGGAAGAAATATCTGCCTTGTGGTTTCATCCTCCTGGATTTTGATGAGGAAGCTTTTGAATAGACCTGTCTTCAAAATGTTGCCTTCTGTCAGTCATTAACTCCTAGTTGCAGGTCTGAGCTTCCTTTTTTGAGGCTGATGCAGATTTTTAAGCCCACGGTAGTCAAATGTGGAAAATTCTTCATTCTTCATCTCCCCGAGGGTCTGTTTTGTGCTCTGGAGCTACTGATGGACTCCATGAATAATTCAGTGGAAGATCATAAAGGAACAATGCTGTAAAGTTAGAACATCTTTGATTTGGGGTTTGGTGGGGTTTTTATTTTTGCTGCTGTAGATTTGGCATTATTCCAATATGATCTTGGCATGACACTTGAATTTATTTTGCTGTTGTCCATGTCATTGGTAAGTATCTTGCAAAGGTGGGTGAACCTTCTTTGGGTGGTTATAACACAAGGGGAAGAAAGATCTTGAAGTTCAGGTCACTCATGTTCCTAAATCCAGAAGAAATTCAGCTCTCAGCAGTTGCTGACCAATGCTGCCTGCAGTGCCTACCTGGGGAAGCTCAATGAAACCTTCATTTCTCTTTCTCACCAATTTTTGGTTATGTTTGGTAATTGGGAGATATTTCTTCTCTGTTTACAGCATGAATTTGTAAATAAGAGGAGAAATATATATAGTAGGTAGCTTAAAAATAGTAAAAACACTACAGATCTGTATTCTGTGGCAAATACTGTCAAATTCCCAAGCCTTAATAGGGTACAGAGTTTCATCTGTACAAATGTCAAGAAAATGGATAACACTGGTTTCCTAAAAATTTCATCTCCCTGCATTTTTAAAAACATTTTTAAACCTCTTCTTTTTCCTCTTCTGCTAGTCAGTTCAGCTCATTCATCTTATGATAGCATTTTCTTATTCTTTGCTTCTCTCTTTTTTTTTCCCTTTTTTTCTGAGCTGCAGTTGTTCTGTGGGTTTTTTTCTTTGTTTTTTTTTAAAGAACAACTCACTTTTTAAAAGATCAAGTCTCTCTCCTGTCTTGCTTGTTAATGTCTTTTCATCACTCAGACTTTTCCTGGCTTCCCTTTCTTGGTAATTTTCTTTTCTTTTTCTTCAGGCTTTTGCCTGGATTTTTTTTTGTTTTCCCTGAATAAAAATATTGTGTTTGAGTGTCATACATTATGGTGGTTTTCTCCTTTGCCCATCACTCCAAGAAGGGAGATTGAGGTGCTGGAGCATGTCTAAAGAAGGGCAGTGAAGCTGGTGAAGGGTCTAGAGCCCAAGTCTTGTGAGAGGGAGCTGGGGGTGCTGAGCCTGGAGCAAAGGAGGCTCAGGGGAGACACTCTGGCTCTGCACAGCTCCTGACAGGAGCATGGAGCCAGGGGGGGGTTGAGCTCTGCTCCCAAGAACAGGAGAAAGTGGCCTCAAGTTGCACCAGGGGAGCTTTAGGTTGGACATGGGGAGGAATTCCTTCCCCAAAAGGGTTGTCAAGCCCTGGAAGAGTCTCTTCAGGGCAGTGGTGGAGTCCCCATCCCTGGAGGGAGTGAAAAGCTGTGGAGGTGTGGTGCTGAGGGACATGGGTTAGTGTGGGACTTGATACTGTGAGGTTAACAGTTGGCCTTGATGATCTTAAAGGTCTCTTCCAACCCAAATGGTTCTGTGGTGCCAAGATTTTTCCTGCAATGTCCATGATTTCTGCCTTCAAATATTCCTTTCCTCCCAGCAAAATGTGAAGCAACTGTAGTGACAGAAACACAAATCCAGGCAGCAGTGTGCTCTGTAGGCCCACAGAAGCATTCCCAGCCTAGAGCTGGGCTGTGTTTCTTCCCCTGCTCTTGTTTTCAGCAGTTTATGGAGTAACCCTGTGCATCCCCTGCTCGTTTCTCTCCCTAATCAGAGTGACAAAGGCAATAACATCCCAATCATGCCCTTACCAGCTGTATCTACAGCAATTCACTCCAGAGCAGGAGATGAGTCGCCAAGTCGTGAGGAGAGTATTACAGATAGAATAATGAATGCTGTAAATCTGTTGCTGAGGCTAGGAATGATTTCTCTGTGGGCATTTATAAGAACCTCTTTTAAAAGTTTCTTTCCCTTTTTACCCTTGCTGGTCGTGACAGGAGATTTCCCTGTCAGATTGGCCTACAGGTATTTCGATGGGGTAAAGGGCTGTCCATCTCCCTTCCTGCCAGAACTGGAACGTGGCAGCTCTGCCTTCTTCTGCACAGCAATTGCTGCAAGGTGATGCTTGCAGAGATGGTGTCTGAGGATCATTTCAAGGCTGCTTTACATATTGATTACTCAAATTGCCATTTAATTTGCTGTATAGCGATACACAGTGCCTTAACTCTTTCTCTGGCATTCTTCCTGATTGCTGTAACTCTGCCTTACACTATATGCATATGTGGTGTCACCATTAAATATTTAGGTGCTCATGAAATGTTAATGTGTCAGGCTGATGTGGAACTCCACACAATGCATTTGCCAGAAGTGAGCAGGGATGTTGAGCCGAGCCCTTCCCTTCCTCCCCCTTCCCCTTTCATTTTCCCTCTCCATTGATTTTATTACCAGTGCTTCTCTGCTGCATCTAAATCTGTGTCAAAGCAGCCCCCTGCTCTGCTATGCAGATTTTATGTTTTATTATGTGAGAGATAAAACACAATAATACTAAAGCAAGAGAAATGGTCTCGGAGAAGCGTTGAGACGCAGCTTTACACGTTGTGCCTGTGCTGCTCTGTTTGGGTATGGAAATGCAGCAGTGTCCTCCATGAGAGAGGCTGAAGCAGGATGACTCACCCAAAATGCAAAGTCACACTCGTGTATTCCTTGAACAGTGGCTGCAGCAATGTAAAACAGGAATTTTAGGGGTGTTTCTTTGCTTTGGGACAGCTGTTACCCAGAGGAGAGGTGGAACAATTAGATCTAATTTAAACTAAAATTTTTAGAAGGTAAAATAACTCCTCTTGGGAGCCTGGTGAATGTGATTCTGACACCATCCTGTTGGAAAAAGCCCAGTAAGAATTTGTAAGGATCAAATATTTCCACATCCTTTAAGCTTTAGTGGGAAGTCTGGGTGATGGGGGAAAAAAAAACCCAAACAACAAACACCACCACCACTGGAAAGAAAAAACCAAACCCGAACCAAAGGGATCATCCATTCTCACAACAAAGAGAGCAGCCATCCTTTTACATCCCTGGGTTGGGAGCAGAGTATCAGCCAGAGGCTGCCCTTGGTACAGCAGGGCTCAAGGAGGTGCTTGATGAAGAGGCTTTGACATGCCACTGGAGCACAGAACACTCCCACTTGCTTTTGGGTTTTCACTCTTTTCCCACTTTAACTGCTTCACAGAGAAGGCTTCTGCACATGGAGAGAGCATGGAACAGTCATGACCAAGGTGTGGGGAGGGGGGGAGAGGCTTTGCTGGCATCTAGCATTCCATCAATCCTCTCCTTCACCTCTCCTCCTGGTTTTGGGTCAAGTTCCAGCCTCGGAGCCTTCTGCAAAGCTTTCTTTGCTGTTGAAATGGAAAGATTTAAAACAAACAAACCCCACAATAAAGATGCAGCCAACAAAAAAAGCCCAACAAAACCCATGATGTGATGGAAGCCACGGAGGCGGGAGGCACACAAAGCAGAGACAATGTCTAAACACTCGTTGCTGAAGGAAATGTGGAGGGTCTCTGTGGGTTCTCTGATGCTTGGTAAAAATCTCTTACCTTTGAAATCAAATCTTCTTCCCTCATCCCTCGTCCCCAGGCTACACAGCAGCTGTTTAGGATGTATTTCTTTTCTTTAAGTGTCAAAGTTTCTTACTGCAAAGACAATTCTTACTGCATGTCTGTTTGGACCATTTCATGAGGAAAAACTTCTTTGCTGTGAGGGTGGCAGAGCCTGGAGCAGCTGCCCAGAGAGGCTGTGGAGTCTCCTGCTCTGGAGAGATCCCAAACCCACCTGGATGTGACCCTGGGCACCCTGCTGTGGGTGACCTGCTGGAGCAGGGGGGCTGGATGAGGAGGTCTCCAGGGGTCCCTTCCAACCCCACCATGCTGGGATTTCTTTCTTTTCCCAGCCCCTGTTTTACTGTCTTTTCAGGCTTACAGCTTCAGTGAAATCTATATTATTTTTATAACTCATTTTTTCATCTACAGCTAAATGTTTTTAGTTGTAGTGCTGGGGAAAACTTTATCCCAACCATATCTGATATGACAGAATTTAAGGGGTGTAAAAATGTGCAAAAAATTCTTTTATCCCATTTATTTTGCAGTCAGCGTCACTCAACAGAGAACACAAAGGCTCTCCTGGAGTTACTTTTTCAGCCCTCGTAGGCTTGATGCAAGAGTGATAGTTCCCTGAAATGTTTTGCACACAAGCACAAGTTTCTTCCATAACAAAGAGAGACACATTTATTTTGTGGACTTCAGTTGCATTTTTGACACTTGGAATTTTTTTTGGTGCCTGAATCCAATTATGCAGTTTCTGTCCCACTTCTTTTTTTTGTTTTGTTTTTTAATAGTTCCTTCTAAGTGTGTGTGTGTGTCTACAGATCATTACATCTGATCTCCTTTAACCTGTCATTTTGAAGTGAACTATTTCTTTCTCTTTGGCTTCTGCTGCAGTTTCTCCAAGCCAGAGGTGGTGCAGGACACCAACCTTGCCTGAGAATGGCAAAGCTTCCCAGTTGGTCGTGGAGCAGCAGTGCTCCTGTGGTGCTGACTGCCTCACACGTAGCTCATGTAGCTGGGAGGAAGGCTCAGCTCTATGAAACCAACCCTCCACAGACAGCTCCCTAAACTCAGCCTGGCATATCTTGAAGGTGTTGGACGTGGAGGACAGGACTTCCACCGATGGCTTCTCCAAACTGATGATTTTCCCTTTTGATTCCTCCTTCAGATTGTCCTGGAGAACAGCAGTCGAGAAGACAAGCATGAGTGTCCCTTTGGCCGTAGTAGCATTGAGCTGACAAAGATGCTGTGTGAAATACTGAAAGTAGGAGAGCTACGTAAGTTGACCTGTTTGTCTGACCTCTAAGAGTCATGGAACGAGTTCAGTGATACCTAAAGGTTATTGCAGTGGAAGGATTTTCTCCTGAGAATCATTTCTCACCGTGGTTATGCATTGAAGAGTGGCAATGAAAATGACTGTGTCTGGTTTTTGGGTCTCTTACTAGTTTGTGGGAATACCAGGGAGGAGGCTGGAGTAGGGGAAAACTGCACCCAGGCTTTGAATCTTTATGAGGCAGGCCAGCTGGATCATTTCTAGAGGGGTTAGATGGTGTAGGAGACTTCATGGTCTTGCTATAGGTTGGTTTTATATGAGCATCCTAGTCATTCTTTGTGGGATTGCTCATCGAAACTGGCACATCCCATTTTCTCTTAGCCATCCAGAGCTCTGTCTAAATAGCAGATGATACATGTATCATTGGCTCCAACAGTGGGATATGAAATATTGTATTTTAATACAGACTAAACAAGCTGTCTTTGGCTTCGATTGCACTCCCTTGACAAATGGGTAGATGCTATCAAACAGAAGAGCACGTCTGTATCTTCATTAGTCTAGAGTGCTGGTGTTTAACTCTATCAATAGATATAAACTTCAGTTGCCCATCAATAATGTTTTGGATCCAGCTGCAGTCTCTTGGCAAGCACTGCCCCCAGCTCCATTTTCTTGTTGCACAAGCAGGGGGCACAACTGAGATTCTTCATTTCCTTCAGAGGTGGTTTCTCCCTTTGGAATTTTTTTCCCTAATAAAGATTTTTCTTTTGCCTTTACCCCCAAAGTCTATGAAAAGTGATGAGAGAAGAGCAATGCAAAAGGCCGCAGGAAAGCCTACAGGTATCATCAGTTCTTGTTCCTACTTCAGAAAAATACCTGAAAATGGTTTTGTATGTGTCCCATCCCTCATTGAGACCTGTGCTGCACTTTGCTGAGGAAGGTGTTTGATCTAGAGGTCACCCAAAGTGTCTCAGGCTTCTTCCTTGCTGTCTACTAAGAAATCACCCCCTAAATAAACCTCTTTTTTTCCCACAGACATGTTTGTGGTCCAGGTGCAGGTGGCTCTTGGCATGTAGATGATTTGCACGTGTGGTACTGTCTGTCCCAATTGCTCCTCACTCCTGAGATAGCTCCTTTCAGGTTTTAACTTTTTCATTGTCTGGTCTTTTGAAGTGGGGAGTGTGAGTAAAATAAGAGTTCAGGGTCAGCTACCATATGAAGAAAATATGAAAGGAAAGCTATTTTTGCTATTTTGGTTTTAGAAAGATGAATTGTCATTTTTTGTGATTCAGTTTGGGTTTGGTTTTGTTTTATTTTGGTGCAGGTTTTATTACAGAGCAGCTCTGCTGTTGGGAATTGTGGATTTAGAAAGAAAACTGAAAAACTGGAGGATAGCTCTGGCTGAGGGAGGTTTCCTGTTGCTGTTCTGAAGCCACTTGCCTTGGTGTTATAGAAGGCACAAGTCATGGGCTTACTGGGCGTGCTGGTGTGCAGCAGGCTCCCGTGGTGCTCTTTCACAGGGCTGTGACACTCTACAGAGGAGATGTGGTGCTGAGGAGAAGTGCACTGGTGCTTTTGTTGCTAGAAACCAGATGTAGCATGACTGCCTTGTGTAAAGTCATGCTCATCCACACCCACAGAGCATCTGGCTCTGGATGTGGCAATGGGATCACGTCACAGCCTTGCACTCCCAGGGGCTGGAGCTAAGGTTGCCTCTAACTCATCCTGACGATTCACCTGCTCCCCAGTATGCTTCCTTAATGGTTTTGTTTATGTGGGACTCTTAATTGCCCATTTAAAAGGCTGTAGTAAAATACACCTTATAAAATAAGGTACAGAAAACAGATTACTTGGAAACGGCTGCTGCAGATGTGCATCTTCAGTGGCCTGTGATCAGCCAATATATTTTGTTGAGAAGTGCAAACTAGAAGTGACAGCCTAGGCAAATGTACCTTCAGGTTTATTCTTTGCTTGAAAATAAACACTGTACTGCTGAATAGGATGGGACATCTTAAAAATCAGTAGTTACAGTTTAGGGCAAAGGTGTCCCTGGTAGTTTGTATGTGATAGGTTTCAGAATATGTTTTTAGGCTGCCAGTGTTTCTTTAGAAATTCAAAACCCCTCATTATTGCATTGGAACATAGAAATGGGTTTTTTTTTCTAACAATTTCTGAATTGTATAATTTAGAAGCCACAATAAATGACCTTTTGCTCATGAAATATTCAGCAGAAGAAACTTTCTTAAAGTGCAGAGTAGATAAAAGCTGCTCGACTGTCCATTATTTATGAAGAGCACTTTAATGCTGATTATATTCCCCTTGCTCTACTGTATTAGATACCTTCAGGCAACAAGAAGACATTTTACCAATTCTTTTTTGGCCCTTCCAAGCACGCATTCATCCCAGCAAGGACTCACAATGAAATGTTAAAGGCATGCCACCTCTTCTGCTTCTGCATTTCCCCAAATCCAGCTGCTCTTAGTTCTTTGGTTCCGAAACACTCACGATTTGGAAACTCATCTCTTCTTCAAGAAAGCATTTCAGTGGATGTTTAAATCCTGTGTAAGTAAAGCAAGCTGTGAGCTGAGCATATGGTGACTGCTTTACAGAGGTGGATTTGCAGAGCAGACGAGCTGAGACGTAAAGAGAGAGGTTGGAGCAGTGTTTAAGTAACATGGAAGTTGGAATGAAACACATCCATAAGCTTCTCCAGTGAAATCTCTGAGACTGGGATATTGGACTGTAAATCTTTTATTCTTGTGCCATTGTTGCTGTGAAAAAGGCACTGAAGAGAATGGCTTTACTGAGTCCTCACCAAGGGCAGACCCTGTGGTAGCTCTGATGTCTCCTTGGTCCTTTGTATATCTTGGCTAACAAGATGATTTGCTTCTCATCCTCTGGGTCTTGGAGCTGATATCAGACCCAATGGTCCATCCTCCTCCCACTGAAGTTATAACTGGAGTTATCCTATGGTTAAGGCACATCAGACTTTGTTTTTCAGAGTATTTTTGAGCAGGACACAGATGTTCAACTGCCAATGTTCACATTTGATTGTTTTGATGGGTGATGTTTTGCAAAAATCTGCATTCAAGCTCTCTGACAGACCTCGGGGAATATATCATGTTAGATACAAGAATTGTCCTCAAGCTTCTGTTGCATCAACAACTCCTTCCCTGGGTTTTCTTGCCTTTCTGTTATGGGGAATTTAATTGTCATGGGGTTTTGCTAGACTTGATTAGTTTTCAGGATGTTTTTTTCCTTGTAAACGAGAAGATCGAAATGCCAGCGTATTATAATGCCCCTGAGAAGCTCTAAATGCCAATGTATTCTGATAATGCTCTTTGTACACCTTCTCACTGTGGATTTCTCATTGCAACCATTGCCCAGGTTGCAGAACTAGTCTAGAAATTCTTTCATTCCTGTCCCATTGTCCAGCAGAACGTGCTGGGCTGTGGGAGGTGTACAGTGATATCCGTGGCTGTGCCCGCCGAGATGAAGGTAATCAAATCTCATGCTTCAAGGAGTCAGCTGATGGCTGGAAGGGTCAGCAAGCACTTTTATTTTTTTGTCTTTGCACAATTTTTCCTCTGCATTGCACAATCCATAGTGTGCAGTGTAGTTTGTTCCTCTTGACCTTTCCCTGAAAGCACGTTGGTGGCTGCAGCATTCCAGACCTGAGGGCTCGCCTCCTTTGTTTTCCCTTTTGCTACAGCAAATGTCATATTTTAAACATTTTTTCCCCTTACTTGAAAGCTAATTGCCTTTTCACTTTCCTCTTCCTCCTTCTCCTCTTAAATTTAAATAGGATAAAGCCCCAGAAATAGGAAATAAAATTAGATAATGGAATTTTTACTGTTCTCACTTTTCTTGCAGTTTCATTTGCTGGAGAAAATGTGTTTTATGAGCCAGGACTTGTTTGCTAGGAAGTTACTGAAAGGTAGCCAATTTTCTTTTGTCCTGAACATCTCATCATCCTAGTCTATAATAAACTAACTAAAAAGACATTCTAACCTCCTTTGTCTTATTTTACTGGGTTCATTCTTTCACATCCACCTTTTTATCCTTTTTCCCAAACCATCACCACATCAGATAACTCCCAGTCACAGCAAAAATGAAGCAGATCTCCAGTGAAGGCTACAAGATAAGCAATGTTTGGAAACAATTTCAGCCACAGTGAAGGGGAAAATATATCTAAAATAATCTATCTCAATCTTGAATTTTAGGGGTTCTTTTGTAAACATTACAAGCCAATTAGCCACTCCTGACTATAGAGACATGAAATATGCTTGTCCTTCTTGGTGCAAAGTGAGCAACTTACTGAGTAGATTGAGTTATACTTGTCTTCTGTATGATAGCAGAACCTTACTTTATCAAACAGACCTCTCTTTCTGTTCCCTGCCACAGTCCAGTGTGAGAGACAGAATGAAACCTTCTTTTTCTGAGGAGATACTCCTTTCTTTGCAGTTAACCCTTTCTTGCCCTAAAAAGCCTCAGTTTCTTCATGCTTGTGGTAAACTGTGAAGTCTCTACAAAACACCTGCTGTAATCTATGAGGATATGAGCAGCAGAGCTGCAGACACCTTTTGAGCAAGACTTTTTCACCTCTGAGTGACAGAGAGACAGGTTTTGGAATGTTATTTTCTACACATGGTACTGTTGGCTGCAAATTTGGTAAGATGTTGGCTTCTGGGTCAGTTAGCCAAGACACCCTGGTCTGTTTAGTGTCCTCTTGTGCATTTTTCCTGTTGTCTACAGCCATAGATCTGCTCTTTGATCCCCTTGGAGCAGGGATCATAACTTGCTTTGTATGTGCAAAGCATTTAACCTTATTGTGTCCTGGGTGCAGGATTCTTTAGCTTCTTTAGAATTGCATAGACTCAATTTTCAATGTTATTAATAAGAATAAAAAGCATGGGAGTTGTGTGTGAACTCAAAAAAGGCTTAAGGGCAAGAAAAAGCTGTGGATATAAAGGATTTTTTAAGAAATTGATTAATATATCCAAAAGA